GTTATCTTAACTTTCCTTAATTTAAAACACATTTGCAATTTTCTCAGAAACAGTGATCTTTCGGACTTAAGACACTTTCTTGCCGATCGCAGCAATCGCGATCAAATATAATAGAAATCATCAAGTGCCAGGATCATTAAATTTTATTTATTTCTTAGCGATTGCAAGGATCGTAGTGATCAAATGAAAACCAGCCTGCTTTTCTAGATGTACCAAAATTCCAAAACGTTTCCAACGTTGCTTAATTGATCCGGCCGACAATAACACAGAAAGCGAAACATCAGTTAATTAATGACTGTTTGACCGCTTTTTGAATAGTAAGCAAAAAATGTATTTTTTAACAGAATTCAGAAATTGTATGGTGCTTTTTTTGTTTGATTCTTTGTTTTTGCCACGATAATACGGCGTGTTTAGAGTACTAAAGTTCGATCCGAGAATTAAATCTCTGTCAGTCACACACTGAGAAAAGAGAAAAAGAACTAAATTAAAAGTAGTCCGCGTGAAATTCTTGAAGGCAATCATTTGCTCCATAAAGTTCGGTCATTGAATTAATTCATCGAGCTCGATCTAAAGGGGTGACGGTCAAGCTACTCGAAAGTGATGTCGTTTGAAGTTATGTCGTCCAAAACTTGACAATATGAGTTTTGTCGCCCAAAATTCAAAGAAAAGTCGCCCGCAATCCTCCCTCATTCTACAGTGTTTTTAGCTTACAGATTCTTGTTTTTTTCGTCCTGTGAAGAACGAGATATAGTACACGTTTACAGCGCTTGATTCGTCTTAGCATAGCGCTTCGTTCGTCAGAGGCACCTGACGGCGATTTCCTCCTAAATGCATCCTAGCATCCTAGGACAACCTCAGTCTTTTCGAAATTACAAGGGCTTCAGCATTATTTTCCCGAAAAATTTAGCTTCCAATTGAAAGTTTTAGGAAAGTGAGAATTTTATCGTATTTTCGGTTCCGAAAATTTTAGGATTCTTTAATTCTCTACGAAAAATAGCTTAACTGGGGAATGAAATGGAAAAAATTAAACTTCAGAAAATCGTAAGGAATTTATTAGATAACCTTCGAAAATTGTACATGCATGGAACGGTCATCTAGAAATGTTTAGCCTTCCTCAACCTATAGAAAATTCTAGGCAGTTTTTGTTTCTCCGATTTAATTACCTTCGTTCGTCTCAGCATGGCTTAAAGAAATATATTAAACTAATTTATTCAACTTCATTTCTCTGTGCATTACTGCTAATAAATATTCCGGTGGCATAACTATAATTTTCAGGCGACATAACTTCAGTGCCTCGCATGCGATAGCAGGCCTCTTTGCGATTCCGGTCATTAGCCGACAGCCGGAGGAATTGGTTTACACTGATCTCGCATTAATTCCAGGCTAGACCACAATTAAGTCGTGATTTTCAAATGGCCACGGTTACTATCAAATTCCAAAACAGTCTCAACTGGTATATTTGATTCACTTCGACCAGTTATCAATGCTGATTAAATCCGCTGAAAACCCAAGCCATTTTTATCATCTTAGCGGTTTTAGTAATCAAGCGTGTTCAGCGTGTCTTACCCAAATTGCACGCTAACCGTGCTATAATTCGCGCACTTACCGTGACATATGGCACGCTACAAAAAAACAAAAGGTCTAGCGTGTTAAATTTGCCAAAACAAAGGCAAGTGTGTCCGTCTTTGTTTTTTCAATTTAATATGCGCATATCCGTGATCTACGGCACGCTAAGCGTGTCGTGCAAGCGTGTCGTGCCCGTGCTTTCACCTTTAGCATCAAATTCCTGTGGAGGGTCACAAATAAAAAAATTAGTTTGGGCTCCACAGCAAAGTAATCTGCAGTAGTGTTGCCCTATAGGCCATGGGAATTCCTCAAAAAGGAGCACACACAATGTACATCTCACCAACACTATACTGAGTTGGATGTTTGGTTCTTATTAACATCGCTACACTTAAAATAATTTGTGATGGCTCCCAATAGGCATTCCACTGAGCATTTTCAATGCAATCATGGCTGAATTGAATTTTTCCATTTGGGCTGTGAGGACAGCATTGCGGAAAAATGACTGTGCAATGTGTACTGGCAGGATCTCCAAAGATACAAATTGGCAGGTGAAAACGCAAAACTTTCATACTGTGTCAACAGGCCAGAATCTGCATGCATTCCTGCATCATGTTTTCTGCCTTCTAAAAGGTTATCACTAACTTTAGTTTCCGTTTTTTCACAGGTCCATACAAATTTCCAATGAGCCCATTTGGTAAAGTGATGGCACGGCATGCATCCGTTTATGGCTGTTGTATAGAACTCCCTGATGTCTAAAGGTCTTCAAATTAGACGGACGGTTCCATCTATAAAACCAATGCAATTTTGAAGTGGGGATCCTTTCCCTGCAATGGCCTGTGTGTACTCTTCGAGTGCCTGAGCACATAACAAATGTGGGTTCTATCCAGTTAGAAAATGTCCATGAGTGTCATACATGTAGTCCAGAACTGTATTGGTAGCCACACTTAGCACTAGAAGAGGCATACTGAAACGTTGAAGCATATCTGCACAGCCACAGGGATAGGTAACCGTCTCAGTAACATGCTCAATCCCTCCATACCATTCTATTTTGCTTCTCTGTCGACAATTAAAGCTTTCCAGTATTTGCAAGCTTCTGCAAGGGTCACTTAATCTCTCTTTCTAACTTGAAACTCCGCCAAACATTCATCATCTTCCATGTCATCAAGATCAAACTCGCCATACAAGGAGTGTGGAAAATACAAGTTAGTGGGCGAATATTCTTCGTAAAGAATGCAAAAATATCTGCGGTACGCAGTTTAGCAGATATTTGTTTTATGCACGTTCTTATATGGTTAATTAGGTGTATTATAGTGTCTGTTTGTGCCTCGGTATTTAAGTAGTGTTAAGTAGTTTGCATATGGTTATATAAGTATCTCGTTCATGCGTATTCATCCTTCGGCTCTGTGAACGCCTACAACCCACAGTTTCATTTTAGCTGTTGCTATGCCCAAGGAGCAGGAGCAAGGATCTTCGGTTTCGACTGTTACTGTTAACGACGACTCAGGCACTGCAATCAGCCCATCCATTACCGGGTTAATTGCCGAGTCTATCGGTGCTTTAACTGATAACCTTACGCGCGCAGGTTATCAAAGATCGTCTGGGCGGTTTCGCCAAGCAGTTTTCTGAGGAGAATAGTTCCACTGTTGAGCAAGCCGTTAAAAAGGCGCGTCGAGAAAGTTACACCTGTAAGAGAGAGGGAAACCAACAGCAGCTGGACCATGCTGTTCAAGTGCTGGACAAATTTGACGAAGCATCCAACGCTTTGAAAGCAAAATTGTACAAGGTCAAGGCCGCTTTGGACTCAGGTACTGAGGTTGTTTCTAAGAGGATAAAGGTGATTGAAATGGCCGATAAGAGTGATTTTGGCTGGTCGATGGTGAATGAATACCTTTGGGACGAGCTGGCTTCAAACTCTGATGACAAAAAAAAGGATGTACAGGGCGGAGAGAAAGGCTGAGAGAAAAACCAAGGAAAGATGTCGTCGTTTCCGCCCCGCGGATCGAAAGGAATCGGCATCTTCTACTTCTGCCGCTTTTTCTTCCCGTTCAGGACCTTCCTATTCAGCGGGTGGTCAGCCTAATCAAAGGGTTTTTAGCTCTTCGCAGCATTTGGGGCCTTGTTTTAAGATAAGTAGTTTTCTTTACTTTACACGTTAGACTTGCTTTGTTTTCACCTTCGGATTTATGGCGTTACTCCCAGGCCATATCCAATATTCTCCAGTATTTGTTTGCTATTTTTGTTTCTTGTTTTTCTATTAACTTCTGGTAAGTGCAGAAGGTAAAAATATCTGCGGTACGCAGTTTAGCAGATATTTGTTTTCTGCACGTTCTTATATGGTTAATTAGGTGTATTATAGTGTCTGTTTGTGCCTCGGTATTTAAGTGATGTTAAGTAGTTATATAAGGTACGGTTATATAAGTGTCTTGTTTATTCGTATTCATCCTTGGGGTCTGTGAACGCCTACAACCCACAGTTTCGTTTTGTTTTATTTTATGGTTTCGCCCTTTCCAGCTAATCAGGCTAATTGATAATAGGTATATATTTTTTGGTCTTATTTTTATAGTGCGAGGAGTTCGGCCACTTGAGTGCTTTTTGTTTGAAGTCGTCCAATTCTTCAAAGGCCAACCCTCGCTGCGACTGTCTAGATGAAGGGGAGGACTCTCATTCTTTAGTTGAGTGTGATTTTCTTTCTATTGGTTTTTCAGAGGAATTTTGTGCCGGCAATGTGTATGCAGCAGTTAAGGGCCGTTTAAAGTCCTCCGTTAGTTTTTGGGCATCCACCTTAGATGCTCCTCAGTTTACTCTCGATGCCATTGTGCATGGCTATCGGATTCCTTTTGCCAGTTATCCAGCCCCGTGTTTTCTAAGCAATAATTTGTCAGCTCTTAGACATCCCGACTTTGTTGTGTGTGCAATTTCAGAGCTTTTGGACAATGGGTGTATTGCCGAGCATAGTGAGCCTCCTTTTTGCGTTAACCCTTAGACTGTTGTGGAGGGCAAGAAGCTTCGCTTAGCGATCGATCTTAGACATGTTAATTGTCACCTCGTTCGTTTTAAGTTTAAGTATGAGGATGTTCACTCGCTGTCACAGGTTCTTCAAAAAGGACACTGGTTCTTTACCTGGGACCTCAAATCTGGATACCACCATGTTGATATTTCTGCAGACCACCAAAAGTACCTAGGTTTTGCTTGGGCCTTTAACGGCGTACTTAGGTATTTCATTTTCACGGTTTTATCCTTCGGTCTCAGCAGCGTGTGTTCTTGTTTTACCAAATTGTTGCGCCCGATCTATGGGTCATAACTCTTTTGTTTATCTCCACGACGGTTTTGGTAGTCAGCTAGAGAGGACGTCCGCCGTCGCAGCTTTTATTCAGCACAAGGAACTTGACTCTTCCGGTCTCCTTGTTAACGAGGGGAAGTCTCACTGAGTCCCGATGAAAGTTGGCGAGTGGCTAGGTTTTGCGATCAACACTATTACTATGACGTTTCGGATTCCCGAAAAGAAGGTCTGCAAGCTAAAGCGGCTTTTGAATTCCGCCATTCAAAAAAAGTCATCGTCCTATCGTGAATTAGCCAGGATCGCCGGTTCCATTTTTTCCGTTGCGTTAGCGGTTAGACCTATTTCCTGTCTTCTGACTAGGCAGATGTACTTAGCTATAGAGTCTAGGTCGGCTTGGGATCACATTTTTCTCTTCCCACCCGCTCCGCCCTAATTCATCCACTGTTGTATTTTCCGACGCAAGAGATGTCGTTTTCGGAGGCTTTTCCGCCTCCCTGGACGGCACTGTGGCCAGAAGTATGTTCACGATCGACGATTTGAGTCAAAGTTCTACTTTTCGCGAACTGAAAGCTTATGTCTTGCTTTCCTCTGTTGAGCACCTCAAGCACAAGAGGGTTAAAATTTTTACCGAGTGCCACCAGGATAGTTTCTGTTGGTAGCTATAAGATCCATCTTCAGTTGGTGGCTCTAAGCATTTTTCGTTTTTGTATTTCACGTGGTATTGCCTTGGAAGCGCAGTGGATTCCAAGGTCGCTCAACGAGAGGGCTGATCTTTTAAGCCAGTTCGTTGACAAGGATGATTGGCGAGTTAATCCCTCCGGTTTCGACTTGTAAATGCCAAATGGGGTCCCCACACGATTGACCATTTCGCTTCCTATTATAACGCTCAGCTTCCGTGTTTTAAATCCAAGTTTGCTTCTCCTGGTTGCAGCGATGTCGATGCCCTGGGGCAGGATTGGAGTAGAGAGAATAACTGGGTTATGGCCAGTTCTCTTGGCTTTTTCCGGTCATGGGACCTTGATTATTCCTGAATGGCCGTCGGCCTATTTTTGGCCTCTTTTACGTGATGGACCCTCATGGTTTAAGTCATTGGTCAGGGAGGTTTTTGTGGTTCCCGCCATAAAGGATCTTATTTTGGAGGGCCCAGGTCAGAGGCAGATCTATAAGTTGTACCTGTCCGTTTTTCGCGGTTGCCCAAAATTCAGAATGTTGGCTTTGCGTGTGGATTTTGGGTGAGCTTTTGGTGTTTTTAGCCTGATTTGGCATATTTTGAGCCTGAATTGGGATAGTTTGAGCCTTATTTGGCGTGCTTTGAGTCAATGTGGTCTCGTTGCGCATGTTTTGTGCCTACATCGGTATTATTTGCTGAAATTGGTCATTAGCGAAGTAATTGTTTGATTTTCACAATATTTTCTTTTCTTTCAGATGTGCTGAGTTCCGGGATTTGGCTTCAAGCCACCTCATTGTCCGATTCTTCTTTGAGTGACGTGGTTATAGGCCTTATTGATCTCCACTCAGATGCTAAGGCTCCATCCACCGTGCAGAAGTACAAGTCTGGCTCGTTGCGGTGGCGCGAGTGGGCTCTGTTAAAGATTGCTGTTCCCGTTATTCCAGGAAAACCTTTGCCTGTCGTGTTGTTTATCTCTGAGCTAGGCATTCTTCTAAGCATTCTTCCGAGAATAACATCGGTGTTTCTTCTATAGAATCTGCCGTTTATGCTATTAAGTGGGGCCATGTAATGGCCAGTATTAAGGCTTGTCCTGTTAGCCATCCCTTAGTAAAGTTTGCGTTAGGAGGAGCCAAATTAAGAAGACTTGCCTGACCTGTTCAGCCTAAGGAGCCACTGTCGGTTAGCACCGTACAGGCGATTGCTGCGCATTTTGCCTCAAGCGCTTCACTTTCCGATCTTCGTTTTTTATTTATTCTTTTAGCTGGTTTTGCAGGCTTTTTTCGCATTGATGAGATTAGGAATACAGCACTTCGTGATGTCTGTGATCATATGTCAGTTTATGTGCCTTAGCGCAAAAATGACCAGCATAGGGAAGGCCACACTGCTTTTCTCACTAGAACAGGCAAGGTTACTTGTAGACCTGTAGCTGTGACTGAGTGGTTGATGAAGCTTTTGCCACAGTCTTCCTCTGCGTTCCCATTAGTTCGCAGAATTGTCAAAGCTAAGTCTAAGGAGTATTTTCATTCTAGTTTGGGTGTTTCTGTTTCCACTTTAAGGGAGGAATTTAAGAAGCATATTAAGCCACTTGTTAGTGATATTTCTAAGTACGGCGCACACAGTATGAAGTCTGGCACGGCTTCTAATCCGGCTTGTAGGAAAATTGCTGGTGATTTGTTAGATATCCTTGCTGGTTGGAGGTGCGAATCCACTAAGCATAGGTATGTTAAGCATGGTCTTAACGAACGTTTAGCTGTATCTAAGGAACTTTCAATGTAGTTGTTTATGGTATTCGTATATATATTTATCATAATATTGTTTTATATTTTCCAGTATTCATTGGTGATTGTTTAATCAGAATCAGATTTTCGCTTTTGCTGACGTAATTTTGAGTAATTTATTTAATACATATAGTCCTGGCGGGGGACATAAGATGTGCCTGGCCCATCCCAGATTTCCTGTCCTTTTTTCCCTATGGGGTTTTTTGGGGCAGGTTTTTTTCTGGCCACCCTGGTACGCTTACATGTAGCTTTAGTTTAATTACCTTTGCTGTAGCTATGTTCATTTTTTGACTATCATTAAGGTGGGTTATGGCGTTACTCCCAGGCCATATCCAATATTCTCCAGTATTTGTTGGCTATTTTCGTTTCTTGTTTTTCTATTAACGTCTGGTAAGTGCAGAACTAGAAATTCCTCCTCCAAAATGAAGTTCGCCCCGTATGAAACATGAAGCGAATCTCTAATTTCATTAAAAGATGACATGGAATTATAATATAAAGAACCAAGCCAAAATCAAGACCAAATTTAATGTAAACAAGAGCAATGAAGTCTTGCAGGATTCTCTGATTTTTCTTGGCTTGAAAAAAACACGTCACATATGCATCACCCTTTTTCAGTACATTTTTTTCTCGTCACTGCACGAACAAGACATGAAAATGCACAATTTCAAGTTTTATGGAGGATATAAATAACGGACAATGAATTTTTGTCCTTTCTAAACTTGGTTATGGTTCTTAGGAATTCACCTTTAGGAGAGTTCACTTACATTTGATAAACTAAGCAAATGGAATAATTGTCATAAATATCAAGAGAACAAGAATTCACTTTTCAAACATCATCGCCATCATGTTACTTTAAACTCACTACCGATGAGTGGCAGGAAAATTCATTTCTGGTCTTTGACTTGACAATTCCGTAGTCACTGCTTTAAGTCATTATTAAACTATGAATAAATATTTACCTTTGTTCAAAAGATACAGCGCATGGTCCGTAAGAAGAACATGAATAAAGTATAGTTGTTTTCCAAGTTGACCATATGCAAACATCAGCATCTACTCCATCAGAAGAAAAAAGACAATATAAATTTAGCTCAATGTTTAATTCAATAGGATTAGCTGTTATGATTCATAAGGCTATTAAGTAAATATTTATATGTCCCCTTGTACAGAATTCAATGCTTTGGATACCGACGATTTATAGCTGACGCAGATGTGCCAAAAATAAGCTCACTATTCTCAAACTATTGATAGCCATAGCAAACACTTATTCTTGGACAAACGAAAGTGATTTTTATTTGGTAATAGCTAGGCATGTAATTTAAAGCATTTGGATTCATAAGTAACCAGGTCCAAGAAAAATGTATTCCTTGGCCATCTCATTCACAAACTGCATTAGTTCTGGTTAGACAGGTCTAAGGCGTTGCATTACACTGGTTCTCACTCTGACTAGGATTCTGTAGCAAGTAGTTAACGGATGACACACAACAGACGCATCACGCAATTATAACGGGCCGAGTTCCATTTAAATAGCACTCAGTGAGTTACTGATATCAGCATCGCCTTAATTTGTTTTTTCTTTCCTTGAATTTCCATTCGGAGCCGCATACAGTTATCCATCGAATTTTATCACATTTTTCCAGGCAGGTACAAAAGTCGGACCGGATCAATTCGGACCGCCAGTCCGGGTCGGATCAACTCGGATCGACTCGGACCAACTCGGATCGAATAAAAAATTGAAAATCGGATCAACTCGGAGCAATAAAAGAAAATTAATTAAATCAGCAAAACTGAAAGTTTAACCCATTTGGAGGGTCAAAAAAGGCCAGATCATCCTTTTTTTCTCCTTGGCTTTCAGGCGCCATTTTGTTTTACTAGTGCCAGTTCCTCTCGGATCATATTATAAGCTCGTGGTTGTGGTTGGACAGTAAAGAAATGATAGTTTCAGTCGCCTAGAATGTATATATTTTCTTATTTATTAGACTACTGAATTATTTATGAGAAAATCATCAAAAGCCTTGTCTGTTGATCGCATTTAGATAGTTACCGAAGAGTGTTTGTTTGTTTGTTCCTGTTTGTTTTTTTTTTCTGCAGGACTACTGAAACTTAATTTTAATGATACACTAGTGAGCAGCACACATACATTTCCAGTGAACAATTTCAACTTGGAAGGAGGAGAAACCATGCTCGCCCAGGACAAAGGAAATTTCCATGCCCACGGCAAGAATCGAACTCGCGACCCTCCGGTTCAGTGGTTGGAACGTCCGATTTTCATGTAGTATTCGGAGGGTCGTGAGTTCAATTCTCACCTTGGGTACGAAAATTTTCTTTGTCCCGGGCGAGCATGGTTTCTCCTCCTTCCAAGTTGAAAATGTTCACTGGAAGTGTATGTATGCTGCTCACTAGTGTATCATTAAAATTAACAAAAATAAAAATAAAATTAATTTACGCAACCACGAGTTCGTGAGAAAAAAAACAAAATGGCGGGTGAAAGTTGAGAGATACCGACTGATTTTATTTTTCTTTTTATAATGCGTTTTTTTTTTTTTATGATCCGAATTGATCCGAGTCCAGTTTTATTTTATTTTTATTTTTTTATTCGATCCGAGTTGGTCCGAGTCGATCCGAGTTGATCCGACCCGGACTGGCGGTCCGAGTTGATCCGGTCCGACTTTTGTACCTGCCTCATTTTTCCTTCTCTACGCTGTAGGTATTAAGAATTGTATTTTTCAGGTCCCATTTTGTCCGTTCTGTGAAAAATTACTTTTCTCTCGCATTTGGCATGCAAGTCTCCACTTACTAATTAAAACATGTTCGCTATTGGATTTAAATCAGGGCTCACTGATATCACGTCTTGAACAATTTATTCTGCATTAGGTCATTGTAAAGTAATGTCGGCCAAACCCTTGACTTCTTAGTTAGTGTCTTAAGCAAAGTTCATATTGTATTTTGTTTTCCTTTTCTCTCGCATTTGGCATGCAAGTCTCCACTTACTAATTAAAACATGTTTGCTATTGGATTTAAATCAGGGCTCACTGATATCACATATTAAACAATTTATTCTGCATTAGGTCGTTGTAAAGTAATGTCGGCCAAACCCTTGACTTCTTGGTTAGTGTCTTAAACAAAGTTCATATTGTATTTTGTTTTCCTTAAATTTAGATAGCCAAAGAAAGCTAAAGAAATTCTCATCATAAATTTAAAGCCTTAGAATCAAAACACCTTATGCTACAGGTCACACTTGTGTTTTCATCGAGCATGCTGCCACATCTCAACAGCGTGTAATAATAACCAGATGGCCTTTTACACCTCACACAATCCTTGTCAAAAATCCTTGGAACACCTATGCGCGTCCCTTTCCCTCTGCAATGTTGAGATGTGATTGCAAAGTTATGTGGCTACAACAACATTGCAAAAGGGAGGGGCAAAACGAAAGGGAGCAGAATTTTCCAAAGTGTTTCAAGGTTTTTGTCTGAGATTGTAGATTAATTATATACACACATGGACCCGAAAAAAAGTACAGTGAAAATACCGTTGTGTTTTGCAACTGTTAGAATTTTTTTTACGTGCAACTGTGAAATTGGTTGGCCTACACAACTTTAATCTCCTGTTTAAACTCCCTTTTTTGGCCTTTGTTTACTTTCTGGTGGGTAGCTCATGCTGTGGAGCTTCTCTCGCATCAAGAGGACATGAAGCGGGTCTCTTTTAAACATATTGTCCTTCTGGTGGTTTTTGTTTGTGACAGAATTTGACCTCTTTTGAAGTGTTAACCCTGATATTGCAATTCAATAACCTCTTAATAACGGTTTTAGTTTCTTAAGTTTGCCCCAAAATGCTTGTATGTAGAGTTGTTTTGTCCATGAATGCAGTGACTCCCTGCTGTGTTTTGTTGTGCTGGGCCCACAGCCTTAGAGATGCTTGCAGGATGTAGAATTCTCATGAGGAGTGATCTACAGACCCTCATTTAAAAAGAAGGAATTATAGCTTACACTGGAAGCTACGCCAACCAACCAAATACGGAGAATTGTACTCAATGACTGATATCCTCCACTTTTCTGTAGATAATTCGAGTCTTTGGAGTGGAGCACAATGTTATGTACTTCCTTCTTTGGTAATTACTTTTGAATTTTATAGCTTCACAGCTTGCAACTGTTCGGCTAATCTTAAATGCCACTTTCTGATCAGGCAAGACCATGGTTTCGGTTCTCTATGTGAACCATATCAGTTGCAATTAAAAGAGCAACATTAGTCTTGTGGTGAGAATGGTAGTCATTCTGTCAGACTAAGCTTTGACCTTGCACATTATTAGAGATACCCTATCAGTGATTGAAAATTCTTATTTTCCTCCAGCCTACTTAAAGCGCAGCCAATTATTGATTGTGGATTTCGATCCTGTTCCGTTTGATAAATGAGTACAAACAAAGATCCCACATGCTCCCCCTAAAATCTGGACAATAACTAGATAAAGATCACTGCTCACAGCAACATCAAATTAAGTACATTTAAACGTGCTAATAATAAAGTTAATGCCAGTTTGGTCTTGAATGGTCCGAAAAATTCACTGTCTTTGTCACATTCCACCAACAGAAGTTCAGGAACTTCAGTATATTTTTACTTTCTGATGGAATCATAGGGCATTTACAAACTAAATAAGGAAATATAAAAAACATAGGAACACTTGAAGGCCTACATTTGTATCCTAACCTCTCTCCCTCACTACCACACTGACCTGCCAAAATTCAGTTCTTATATGATTTTTTTAAAGGTGAGTTTTCGACACGAATTGTGTACTTGAAGTGTACACTCCGAATGAATACATTATGTCCTACTCGAATATGTTTTTACAGTATATACTAAAAATTCAGCCTATGGGCATACAAACAATGTTATTACACAATACACGCTGATTAGGCTTAGATGAACTATACTACATGGGCTTATGTAATATGTTACATCCCCTTCTCTTAAACAATAAACATGCATTATAATAACACAAAATCAGTCCTTCAAATCTAAGTCTTCTTCATAGTAACTTCAACTGATCTGTAAACAAAGAAAACGAGTAAAGTCACTGAAAACGGGATTTGCTGTCTTAGATTCTTGTATCGTAAAATATACCTAATAAAACAGCAGTCAAAGATTTAGTCTTTCTGAGCCAGATTTCATTCGCCTATTCTCGGTTTCTGCTGGGGTGGGATCTCAGGAGTCAACGCTTGAAGGTATTGGCATTTTGAGTGTAGTCGTACTTCCTTGTGGGATGATGGTCTGTCTACGAGTTTTTTTGCTGGATTGTTGGATGAGTTGTTCGGTCTAAGGTGGATCCTATTCCTTCACAGGTGGACACCGGTCTCAATTTCCAAAGTATAGGAGCGGTGTGAATTTCCTTGATCTACGACCTTAGTGGCACTCCATGCCTTCCTCTCGGAATCTTGTACATAGATGGCTTTGCCCTTGTATAACTCAGGGAGTTCCTTGGTGTATCTGTTGTAACAATGTAACAGCTCTGATTGTCTTGTCTCGCCTTGACAGCCAGTTTCTAAAGTCTTCTTAGTCTTTTGATGGGTAGATCTTTGCAGGGAGCGTGGATTTAAAAATTCGACCACTGAGGAGTTCAGCTGGCAATGCTATATTGGGACTCAGGGGTGTTGTTCGTGGTGCCAACAGGGCTAGATCTATGTCTTCCCTGGTCTCTCCACACTCAAGGATGAACCTCTTCACCGTTTGGACTTGATGTTCTACTAATCCATGGCCACGTGGATAGTGAGGGGATGACATTATGATGTTGAAGCCGTATTGGCTTGCCGGTTGTTGGAACTCGACAGAGGTGAATTGAGGATTGTTGGCACATTGTAAAGTTTCTTGAATTCCATTTTCTGCAAATATCGTGTTTATTTCTTTTACAACAGCTCCAGTTGAAAGGTTGTTGAGCTTTCTGACAAATGGGAACTTCGAGTAGTGATCAACAACTATAAGAAACCACGACTGTTGGGCATAAAATAGATCTGCACTCACAGTTTACCACCATCTTGGGTTGATCTCCGAGGGTATCATAGGCTCTTTTTGATAAGAAGTTTGGTACTTTTGCACACCCTACACGCGTTTACAAGACTTCCCATTTCTCTATAGATGCTTGGCCAGTGAACACAGGATTTGGCTCGCAGCTTGCATTTTTCTATGCCAAAATGTCCTGTGTGGATTTGCTGCAAGTTTTTGCCTCTTAAGGATTCTGCAGGGACTATGACACAGCTTCCAAGAAGTACTAACCCATTTTCTACTAATATCTCATCTCGCAACGACCAGTACGGTTTTACTTTCAGGTCAACTTCATTAACATTGTCTGGCCAGCCTTTCACGACCTGCTGGGATAACTGCTGTAGGACTTTATCTTTTGCAGTTTCGTCCTCGAACTCTTGCATTTTAGCTGGAAAGATTCTGATTCGATGGTGAATGTTCACATTCATATAACTGGTACCTCAAATTCATCTAACGACGAGAGGTGTGACAGGGTGTCAGCTGTGACCATTTCTCTTCCTCGAAGATATTTAATGTGTGGTTCCAGAAAATATCCATACCCCCCACGGAAGGGATTTGCCGTATGACCCCCCTCCCCTCTGGATTTTCCAAAATCGGCCCCCAAAATTTACCCCCCCCCTCCCCTCCGGAATTTTCAAAATTTTCTCACACCCCCTGGAAATTTTGCTATCTCTAATTGAAGTGAACAAAGAAGTAGTTTCGTTCACTAGGATACCAAATTTTGTGAGTTTCATGGTATTTCCTGTTGAATTGTATAACAGATAAGCGAATTCCTTATCCGAACTCCTTATGCGCTCTAGCCTGAATTTCATCCGATTACTTCGAGTCGTTATTATTCCCTCAGTAGTTGAGAGGAGAAAACGACTCAAAGCAATTGGATGAATTTCAGGCTGTTGAGAGGAGAAAACGACTCGAAGCAATCGGATGAATTTCAGGCTATATAACAGCGTGAGTATCGAATTTCGTTCTACCAAATTTGCATATTTGAATTTGCGGTAAAATTGCGCGTCGCCGATTTCATTGATAAGTAAATTGTCACGCAAAGTTTAACGTGCTGGAAAAGACTCGTGCAACTTGGAGAAACAGTCAAGAGAAGAAGAAATGCAACCAATTAAAAAAAATTATTTTTCGTGTTTTGTGTTCTCGACATGCAAGGAAAATGAAGTTTCGTTCCGCTGGCTCATAAACTACAAAAGTGTAAACGATAAAAAATATTATTTTCGGGAAACTAGTTGAAAAAAAAAACTTAAGTATTGACTAAAACGTATGTCAATACTGTCGATAATCGGTTGATAATATGAAAGCGAAGATGGCTACAAGGAGCAGACATGCCTAACTATTCAGAACCACACAATAACACAGTAATATGGTTGTGGATACAGCAGCATTCTTTGACGGCGTGGGGCGATGATCGGATTGAACCACAAATGATCTTCCATAGAGATAGGAATGGAATTTCTCACAGCCATAGACCATAATATTTCTCGTTCAATGTTGGCAAATGTTCATGTTTCCGCAGGAGGTGAGCGCTTTCGATGCAAATGCTTTTGGTCTGTTGTTCTGGAATAGAGCTGCACCCAGGCCCTTGATCGATGCATCAACATGAAGGAAAACTGGTTCATTTCTGTTGTAGTACGCGGGAGTAGTTGCAGTACGGATTTGAGACTTTCTCTTTTCAAAGGCTCTCAAGTGTGATGGGTTCCACGCAAAGTCAACATTCTATTTGAAAGGTCTCTTAAGGGCGCAGTGTGGTCAGCTAACTTGGGAATGAATGAGCTCATGCAAGTTGCCATTCACAGGAAAGTGTGAAGCTCCTTCTTGTCTTCAGGTGGTTCCAGTTTTTTTTATGGCTTGGACTTTGTCTGGGCTTGGCTTGACACCATCTGGTGTGTAAAGCATAATGAAGAAATTGCATTCCTTTGTCTTGATAACACACTTCTCTTCACTGATCTTACTGCCAGCTTTCGCGGAAGGTTCCATGATTTCGTGAAGGTCTAAGTCATGTTGTTTGACATTCTTTCCGCAGAACACGGAACAAGACTTTCAGGGAATTGAATTTTCCATGAACTCGCCTCGAAGTATTTCATGGGCCATGAAACCATAGAACGAGACTTTCATGGGGCATTAATTAACCATGAATCCAAGTACGGTATGGATTTCAACAACCTTTGCCTTGCCCTGACGAGAAGATAATTCCCTTGTAGAAATTAAGTATACTTTAAGTATACTTCAAGTATACTTTATATGTACTTCTCAGAAAAAAAGTACGTTTGAAGTATACCTCGTTTGTACTTCCAGAAAAAAAGTATAAATGAAGTATATTTAACAAATGTACTTCATTTATACTTCAAATACTTAAGTATACTTTAAGTATACTTCTTCAAACTTCAGTGCTTGTGAAAAATAGTTTCGCAAAGAAAAGTGTACTTTAAGTATACTTTGAAACTGAAAGACACATTCTGATCTGAGGATCTAAGAATTGGTTTGTCCGGATCTTGAAATCACTACAAGACAAAAGTATACTAAGAGTATGCTTTAAGTATAATTTAACTTCAAAATACTATTCAGATCAAATCAGTTTTCTTCTATTAAGGACACAGTTGAGATCATGTAAAGATTTCTTCAGAGTGGTGAAGTATATAACAGGTTTCTAGATACACAGGGCACACATTAGCTGTTCAGTCGACTTCCTTCGTAAGAAAATCATCCGCCGAACCCATGGCGAAATGGCAAAGTCTCACAGTTTCATTCTGGTCATTTCTTTAAAGTCTTTCGTGGAATTTTTGCATTTGGCAGTAAAAGATACTGGATGTAATTAAGGCCCGCGTCGTTTTACCTCCTTTTTTACGAGGACCTTAAGAAATAGAACAAGAACTCGAAGCAAAACCATCGCTCATCGTCGGACATCTTTACGTTCGAGGAAAGAAATGTATATATGAAGGTGTTGAATTACCGCTGACTTCCAGCACCGTCGGAACATATAGGGGATCTTGTGGATTTTCTTAATACGGTCATGTATGAATCATTTACAGCATACCTACTTCCATATATGGTTTTGGCGGGCGATACAGATTCGAAGGAACGTTCGTTGAGCTTTGCCGAGAGTGTCTTCAAGATATTTATACGCCTGGAATATTGCCTTTAATTTATCTTCACAATATAATTCGAGCACAATATGAGTGGAACTTGAAAAGAAAACAAAAGAAGTACACCATGACTGAATTTTGACGATACAAGTAAGGTTTTGGGGTGAAAAATGTATGGGTTCCAGTCGTTTCAATATATATCGATTCTTCTTTGCGAGTCATTTGCAAATGACACACGAGTTAAGCCTTAAGGTTTACAAAGTGAAAGCTTGTTTACTTCGCCTAAAGTGCAGTGTAAATTCAAAATATAAAACCCAAGTCTTGTTTTCGTTAGATCGCATTTCGTTCCAGTTTTTGTACGTAATAGGTGGAAATATTTCTTTAATAAGGTAATGCCACAATTTACTTTGTAGCCAAAGAGTACAGATCTAATCATTCTTGTCTATTAAACATTTACTAAAATTAAGAAGAATATTGTGTGATGGTTCTAAGAAATAATTATTAAGTACAAGTGAGTTAAAGAAAGTTCAGAAAGAAACCTGTTAATATACATGCACCTTCCTTGAAATGATCTCATTGTCAATGAAAATTTTACTAAAATTAAGAAGAATAATATATTATGGTAATCAAATGCAGTGAGTTCCTTTCGTAGGAATAGAAAATGTATATTTTTATGTTGTGGAAACCTATTCCAACAAGATTTGCTATATATTTTTTTATATTTTCTTAGTACATTTGTATTGCTTTAAGTTAAGGGTAGTTTTTTTTGTTATATCAATAAATGATTTTACAATATATTGATCCAAGTCTGACGTGTCTCAGTGATTGATAAACATATTGCATTGAGTATACTTTAAGTATATTTTAAGTATACTTGAAGTATACTTCCATTAAGTATACTTCACTACTACTTCCAGTAGATGCTCAACACTTAAAGCTGATGATCGTAAAATTACTGATCCTGTCGAAATTGTCAACAAGTTTTGTAGTTATTTTTCAAGCATTGGTCCTAATTTAGCAAAGGGTATAGTTTTCTTAATGGTTCCTTTACACAGTCAATATTCTTCAACCCTACAACCCAAGATGAGATCGCTGAAATTGCGAAAGCTTTTCCTCCAGGCAAAGTAGCTGGTTACGACCAGATTCCAATGACAATCATTAAGGAGACCATTCTACTTGTTTCTGAACCACTCACCCATATCATAAACTCGTCAATCCAGCATGGTATTGTTCCCGATGAAATGAAAATCGCTTGCGTGATACCTACTTTTAAGTCTGATGATCAGTCACTTTTCACCAACTACCGACCTATCTCGGTACTTCCCAGCTTTTCAAAATTCTTTGAAAAAGTTATCTACAGTCGTTTAATGCAATATCTGATGAATTTCAACATCCTCTGTAGTAACCAATACGGCCTCAGGAAAAATCATTCCACTGCATTCCCACTAATCGACTTGCATGATAAGATCTCCACGGCCTTTGACCTAGGTGAATTTTCCGTAGGTATTTTTCTTGACCTCTGAAAAGCCTTCGACACTGTCATCATGTAATCATGTCATCCTTTTTGATAAACTCGAACATTGCGGTATTCGTGGCTTAGCGCTGGACTGGATAAGAAGTTACTTTTCAAACAGAAAGCAATATGTTGAATCTAATGGCCACTGTTCATTAACAAATGAAATCTCTTGTGGGGTCCCTCAGGGTTCTATCCTCGGACCTCTATTTTTCTTACTGTACATTAATGACATCAACAATGCTTGTAATCTATTAAATCTGATATTCGCCGACGAGACCAATGTATTCATGTCACATAAAGATCTGAACTATCTTTCAGATATCCTAAACTTGGAGATGGACAAACTGTCCATCTGGTTTAAAGCAAACAAGCTTTCTCTAAATCTTAAAAAGACTACATTTACGGTCTTTAAACCAAGACAAAAGCATTCAATTTGTAATATTCAAATAAGTATAGATAATCAAAATATTGTTAAACTAAAGGAGACAAATTTTCTAGGCGTAATTTTGGATGAAAACCTAAATTGGAAGTCGGAAATATCACACATTGCAAACAAAGTTGCGAAGTCAATCGGTATAATATCTAGATACAGCTTCTTTCTTCCTCAAATGTCTCTACGTATGCTCTACTATTCCTTAATTCATCCTTATTTTTACTACTGCAATATAGTTTGGGCTTCGACCTATAAAATCCACAATCTCCACCACCTTGTTATCCTGCAAAAGCGCATTATTAGAATTATTAATAAATCACATTTCAATGCTCATACAGACACCATCTT